GGATTGTGTTTTGGGTCCAGGAATTCTGCTTTTAGACCATGACCAAATCACTGAAGCTCTGCTCCTTTGTACCCAGTCAAGGACTATTTGCAATTTTTGTTTTTTATTTTTTTTACACTCTAGAAATAGCTTAGTCTGAGCCACTTAGAAGCAACACAGCAACATTAGTGGAGGCTACAGGCTACTTCTCTGAAGAGACTTAGAAGATCATAGAATCATAGAATGGCCTAGGCTGGAAGGGACCTTAGAGATCATTTTAATCTACCCTCCCTGTCACCAGGGATGCTACCCTGTCGACTAGATGTGAAATTGGTTCTTTATGCCACTACAAACTTCCTGTGAGACCTTGAGTCCTTAGTCCCAAACTCTCCAAAGTACTACATGTGTAAAGCAGGATTAAACACATGCTTAAATTTACCTTTTGTCTTTCGACGGCATGCAGCCTCTTGGGAAAAGGGAATGGTTCAGATCAGGACTGCCAACTCCAAAAACTCAATGCCATCAGCCAGGCCTAAAAGAAATAACCAAGAGTCCAGGAGATTTAAAAAAAAAATTACTTTGGAGTTCTTTTTATTTGCTTGCTCAGTTCTACATTGCTCAGGTTCATGTTTTCAAACATTTCTCTAGATCCTTGAGACTGAGAAAACTGCTTTTTTTTTAATTAAAAAAAATAATAATAACGGAAAGCTGAGACTATGAACTATTCACATGACTCCAGGGATCAAGACTTTAGGGAAAGCAATAAACGTACTGAGACTCATCATAAAACCATGTGAGCTGGCAGGCACTCTGTGCCTCATTTCTACCAGGATGAGGCCCCAGTAAACAGAGCCACTTGAATTTCTGTCTCGCCACTGTTACGAGCAGTTCCCCCCTCTCAGAAGCAAGAGGTACCTTCATGGAGCACAGAGGGCCCTGGCACTGTCCTCACCACTTGTACCGTACGTACCCCGAGGAGCAATGGCTTTCAGTCCCCACTTGTCTTTTCCCCTTAGTTTTCCAGGTGGGGAAAAGCCCAAGCTGACAAAGTTGACCTGGTTGGAAAACGTTACGTAAAGGCTCAGCATTGTCAGATTGTTGAGGTCTGACTCTTTAAAAAGAAGGAGGTGTAAGACGATCTGAACTGCGTTTGCACTTGCTCAGTGGCCATTCCGCCCTGGTAGTGTCAAAGAAGATGTGGGGCTGCTCACAGCCAGCTCTGTGGCTTCAGAGATGGGCTTTAAGAAAGATGAATAAAGCCACAGACAAAGGCTGCAGTTGAGAGGGAGCGAGGAGAATTGTTCCCTCAGCCTTGTGGACAGACGCGATCTCCGAGCAGCCAGGCTTTCCAAGGCTCCAGAGATAACCGAGGGAAGAGCACAGCTCCTGCGCCGAGACTCACAGGCAGCTGGAAGCAAAAGGAGGAATTGGTTCATGCAGGAGACAAAAGGCAAACCTCACTGTGGGATCCATTCACCACAGCCAGCACTTCCACGAGGAAGCCAGCAGAAGCCAGCTTAGCCAGTGGCAGCTCCTTCTCACCAGTCTCCCTTCCCAGTGGTCTTAAGAGCATGAACACATGACTAAGTCATCGCAAGGTAGGGGAAGGAGTAAACCTGCAGCCCACCCTCTCCTCAGCTCCCTCTGCCCTCCTGTTTCAGCTCCATGTGACAGAACCTGCTTGGTCGCTGCAGGACAAGGCGTCTCTCACTGCGCAACAAAACGTGCCTGTGGGGTTCGCTGCCGTGCACTTACTCCTGCTCCTCTCTCCGTGTGGATTAAGAGGGTTGGGAAATGGCTTCAGCTCCCCGGCAGGTGTGTGAAGTGGGGACACACCTCACAGCTCGCTAGGACGTTGCTGAGGTCACGGAGAGAAGGATAACTTCAGAGAGGTTGGGAACACGTTTGATGTTCGACTGCTTTATACCATTTGAAGACATTTCTCACAGCCGTCAGGAGAACACCAAAATCTCTATGTTGGTCGTCAGAGCAGTCTAAAGGTGTTTTGGAGGAGTTTTTTTAACAGGATCAAGGCCTTAAAAAGCAAAAGACAGCTACCGAAAAAGAACAGCAGAACTCACACCTCTTTTGAGGCAGAAGAGGGGACCAAGATGATTAGAGACAGAGGAAGAGCAGCTGCTGTAAAAGCTGTAGAAGTTATCTGTATCACATAAAGATGCAGGGTAAAGAAAATACCGCTGTGCTAGCCATGGCAGCCTGAAGTAGACACAATCGTACCTGCAGGGCTTGTGTTACTCAAGCAGAAGACCCCTTTATCTGCTGGCTCAAAGCACAGCCTGGCTGGTGGGCAGCCCTGGCCGCACTGGGAGCTCTTTGTCAGTGACTACATCAAGTTTCTTAGGCCAGGAAAAAAAAAATCTCCTGCTGCAGAGGTAGCGGGGGTTGGACAGTTGCTTCTTTGTTCATGTTCTTGCCTCAAGCACAGAGGTAAGATGACTCAATGAAATGTACTTTGTGTGTGGGAAACAACCGGAGTCCATCAGAGCGGAGACACTAGGACAGGTCATTCAGGGAAAATAGTTCTGCTTCCCTTTTTCTTGTTTGCCACAAAAAAGCTGCGTGTCTTGCCAACTCTGTCCGAATTCTCTGTGAGAGAAAGGAGTTGAGGTGAAAAGCCCGACCGTGCAGGACAGCAGGCACGTGCAAGACCTTTCACGGGCAACGCAGGGTTGAAGGAGCGAGGGATGGGGAGAGCTGAGGTTCAGTTCACAGAGGTCTGAGGTGCGGATCCATTCTCGGTCACGCACACACATTGCCTTGAGCAGCTCTGGCACAACCTCGTGGGTCTATCCACAGCCTTGAGTGGTGCCTCCTCCCTCCTGAAACCCAGCTCTGAGAACCGAGCCGCTCTTCGCCCTCGTGCGCAGCAAGCAGAGCCCCACATGGATGCCAGCCAGCAGAGAATTGAGCCCAAAGTCACGTCGCAGCATGCAGGACTCCCCCATCCCTCAGCAAAATTGAGCCAGATCTTACATACTATGGGCATAAACAATACAATAAGCAACACCTGGAAAAAGGAGCTAAGACCACAGCACTTAATTCACAATGATCCGCTTTGTCAGATGGAGAACATTAAACAGCCTTTACGTGTGCACACAATTGCACAACGTGTGGCACAGCCAGAAATGGGGTAGTGTGCTTCCTGAGAAGCATCGATCTTAAAAAAAAACCCACTTTAATCATGTGAAGAAGTTATGAGAGAGAAACAGGTCGAGAGATCTTGTACCTTCAGTTAACTACCTGCAGTCTGCATTAGATTGCTGCTGCCTGAACTACATCACATCGGTGCAGAATCAAGCAAAACACAGCTAACGAAGATAGATAGAGGAGGAAGATAAGTAACCACTTCTGTCCAGTGTTCTGAAGAAAAGGGAAGGAAAGAAGGAAGCAGCACACTTATAACATACCATATATGCCTACGGTCTTCTCCAAGGCCAAAAAGCTGACAGGGATGTAAGAAGTTTGCAGTGAGGTTTCATTAGTCCGAATCAGATGATGGTCTGTGATCCGATTCAATCCACACCAAAACTAGTCTTTATATAAAGACCTGGCAATACAGCCAAGTGCTGCACACAAACCGAGGAGCAGGTAACAAATACCTAGAGGGGTCCTAACTTTTGCAAACACTCAGAATAAGTCTAAAGCTGCCATCTGATGATAGCCCTCAACAGAAACCCAGAAAATAAGAAAGCCAAAACATTGAAGACTGATAGCTGAGGAAAAGAAGGATAATTCACTTTGGGAACGTGTGAGACAACAGAAGCAAGTGCAAGAAAAAGCTTTACGTAAAGAGCAAGTTTTAAAGAGGAACTGCAGAGCTGATCCAAGGGCGCTGGAAGGTTTTCTGTTGACTCCAGTGGGGTTTGGATCAGCTCTGGACACGGAGGGGAAGAGCCTGGGGCTGGCACGAAGAGGCAGGTTGTGGGGAGCCTGGAATGCAGCTCGAATAGAGAGAGGAAGCAAAGAGGAGCGTAGGACTGGTTCCATTGGTAGTTCTGGCAGTAAAAATTCCCCTGTAGATATATATACACACGTATTTATTTATAATACATACATTACTGTTTTAATGTGCATTGCTAATAGAAATTTATGTTCATACGCTGCAGTTTACAGCACAATCCACTCAAGTTCTCTGTACTCTGTAATACCTATTCTAACACAGGAAAAGTTGAACTTCTAGAAAGCAGCTCAGAATTGACACTTGTGTCCCTAAGAAGCGCTCAGTATTCCTTCATTACAACTGGCAAAGTCAGTGTGGTGTCTAGCATATATTTTTAGAATATTATTTGATAGATATCATCTTGATTGCTCACTTGTCTGCATCACCTTTTATTTAAATATTATTACATTAACCTCAAGCAAACATTACTAATACAGATGGAAGAAGCAGAAAAGGACCTACTCAGTGTTTGTGCTGTAGATATGATTCACAGATACCAAATTACAGGTACCTTTACCGGCGCTCTGAGCCCTTCCCTTCCATACAGGTTAAATGAGAATCAGCAAGAACTGAACCGCATTTTTACCACCAGCCCTATGGACCTGGTTTACACTAAACCTCTTGAAAACGCTTTCCATTCCTTGAGCCACAAGCAGTACCCAGCTACTACCGCAGCTTCACCCGCCCACTACTATTGTAGCTTTTTACCAGCCAGGCTATAAAAAGACAACATTAGGACCACTCCAATCTCCCTCTTTATGTGCTTATTTATTTTTACTTCTCCCAATGAACAGAGAACTTATTTCAAAGAAGTAATCAATATATCACAATTCGTGTGACATGAACTAACCAGCAGGAACTTCCGCTTGCTGTAACGCTCTGTGACTTCAAAATTGTGCAACACCTTTAGTAAACACTTCCTCATATAGGAACGGGACCAGAGCTGCACAACTCACTCCCTCTCATTCCCTGCACAAGAGAGGGCAGCTCGGAGCAGAGCCAGCCTGGGAACGCGATTTCCCCCGAGCACAGAGCCCACTGTGAGACACGGGCGACCGAGATGACTAACGTACTTCTTGTTTCTGTTGTTCTGCTGCATTTTCTCTGGCAAGGTACGGCTTTTTTTTGTATCTATAATCCTTTATCAGTGGTTGCTAGGGATAACTTTGGGCAGCTTTTATGGATGGTTTTTTTTTAATTTTTAACACATAGATAATACAGAAGAACAGTGAATTAAAGCCATGGGAAAAAGGGGTATTGTTGAAGTTAGGAATGGTTGCTTCTTTCTCTTTCTTTTCAAAGCAATTATCTAAAATTCTTTAGTTAGACAAGTATTTACTTGTGTGAAAAGTGGCCGTAGATTGCCTGAAGACCAAGACCCAGTTAGTTTCGTGAGCCAGTTAAAAAAATACTTCCCTGCAAGCAAGTGGACAATTTATCCATCTGGGAGAAACTTATTGCACTGACAGCATTTTGGCTGTGAAAGACTTCTATCTGAATTCAGTTAACGACATTCCCTGAATTTGAATAATCAGCACCCGTATTATCTGCGTGATACTTCAGGTTTTGAGTATTCATATCACTTAACCTTAACAGACCACATTTTTTTTTGACATGTGCATTGTTTCTTTCAATTCATGTCAACAGGGAGCAGCTTTTTTTTTCCAGAGCTTGGCACGCACAAGCATGCACAGGTTTTATACACATAATTAGACATGTAATTTGTTTTCAGGCAGATATCTTTATGATTTCATTAGCTGCACAGAATATCTGAAAACGTGCACAGTACTAATTCTTACGATGTTACGTATCTTGTTTCTTGACAAAACCGTGTTTTCATTGCCAATGAGATCCTCAATAATGCTTTTTCTTCCTGGTTTCAGCCCTTGGAAAAGTACATAATTATTTGTTCCTAATTAGCACTTTTTCTAGCTGTTGTACCAGGCCCAAGGAATTTCTTTCTTCCTTAAAGCTACTGACTCAAGACAATGCCTGAAGCAAGACAAAGTCAGTATACTGAGCTGATTTCAAATAACTACCTCTAAGAAACGATTTGTTCCAGAACAGAACTAACCTGTTTTCCTCAAAATGCTCTTTGTACCACACTGCAGGAAAAGGACAAGTTTAGTTCTGAGTCTCCATTCAAATCTAGCCTAAACTTGAACCATCTGGGCTACGGTTGGCCTTGTTAGACAAGAGCCTGCCACAGGGAGTGGGTAGAGAACCCTGGAGCCCAGAACTCTGCTCTGAGAGGCCAAAGTATTACTGGGATCAGCAAGTAAGAATGTTCTTTCAGCTCATGGAAAGGCAACGTGAAGCAAAAGATTTTTTTACAAGTAAACATAATTAATTACTTAAAATAAAATATAGAACATCACTGTAAATGGCAGTAACAAACCTGCACTTGGTATTTGCTAACAGCACGTGTGGGGATAGTTTCTGGGTAATGGCTCTGCTGATGTAAGAGAACTTCCGCGGACTTAGACCATTACACCATCAGCCCTTTCTCTCCGGCACTCAGCTCTGCCAACATAGAACCAAGTTCATTCTGCAATTATTTTTGGAAAGGGTTTAATCAAATAAACCAGTTACGAAGAATTAATCTGTTTATTTTACTGCAAAAATTTGCATGAGGATGTGCTCTGGTGTTGCAGATACAGAAAATTACAGTAATTGGATGCCCCAGTCTTGTAAAAATCTGGCCTTGAGGCTGACAATTAAAATGGGAGTTGACTCTTCCTTTGTTGTTTGTGGTTTAGTTTCTTTTTTTTTTTTTTTTTTTTTTTTTTAATGCAGGCTCTTGTGCTTAGTGCTGAGCCCTCAAGAATTTGCCCGTTCAGGTGAAATGACCTTCTGTAGGAGATTAAAGAGCTTAGGAGGCACATAAAACCTGCTGCTGCTGGGTTGGAAACGAACACATCCCTTGTACAACCCTGTTTTCTCAAAAGCTGTTGTTCTTAACTTCAAATGATGCAACGTGTGCTGACCACCCCTGCCAGTCAGGCCACAAATTAACTTTTGTCAAGATTCACTCAGAAGCAGAAACCAAAACAAAATACTTTCCACCATCACCGTATTTCCTCAAGCCCTTCATAGCCACTGCAGACACACAACGAACGCATCTTACAAGTAGGACGAGGAAAAAGGGTTATGTGAGTTAAGGAATCATCTGGATTCCTTGTCACCTTCAAGATTTTCTGCTTTACTGCCTGTTTTCTCTTATTTTCCCCAGCCTTGTTCAAATGCCTTTCCCAGAAGGGTGTAACCACCCTTAATCCGACTCAATAGGTAAAAGTTTATCTATGCAAGCACTGCCACAGGTATTTATGTGAGAAGACCAGCTGAAAAGCTTTCCAAAGGAGAAAGCTAGGCTTGGTCCAGACTTGTGGTGAATGTATTTGCTTATCTAGAGGCAGCCTTAACTTGTATGTCATCACGTAATATGTTTGCAGCTCACTAACTTCATGGAATCGTGTGACTCGATTCATGTCATCTGCAAAATGTGAGGGCAAAGGTTCCACCTGGCATAGCTGGTCTAGCATGCTGGTACCTGAAAGCGCCAATTGGTGCCGGGGAAAGAAATCCAAAGCAAATTGCATCAAGTATTTTGACACCTGGAAATAGCCAGGTATGTCAACTCATCTGAAAACCAGACTGTTACGAACAGCGACGCACAGCGAGGGTGGCTGCTCAGCACAGCAGGCGAGCCCACGCATGAGAAACGCATGGTGCAACAGATGAGTGACCACACAGCCCAAAAGAATCAATCCTGACAGAGATGAAATACAGCATTTAACAAGTTAATACTGTGTTTTGATAAATTTTCATCTGTTTCTCCCTAGAGGCCATGAGCAAGAAACTACCTGGAGTTGAGCAATATGAAATAGTTCATCCCCGGAAATTGCACACCGTCCAGAAGAGAGATGTAGAAAGAAACAAAGAGGTATTAAAAGAGAGAACATCTCGCTGGGAGATGGGGAAGGTTTTCTGGAGTCAGAGTAGCCTTGGCTGTCAAGGGTAAGAACGTGGAGCAAGACTCTTGATCTTGCGCAAGGCAATGAAAGAGAAAACCTGGAAGAGCGATCCCGTGTCTGGCAGAGGCGCTCTGCAGTGTGCTCACCATGCACTTGGGTACCGCTCTGCCACCCGTGGGTCTTCTCGACTTGTAACTCTGCAAAGATGTAGGTTTTGATACTGCTCAGATTTTGAATAACCTACAGACTTTTCCATTCGAAGTCCGTGAAATCAAACGCTTAAAGCTAAGCTTACTCTTGCATACTTCGAGAGAGTTATGTAAATGTTTGGATTTAAGCATCCACTTCAGCACTTTCCCGAATACGCAAATATGTGCTTATGATTGTAGAAATACATCTGTGAAGTTAAATTTGTTCCTCTAATTAAAATATATAAACCTGAGTGGCCTCCTGCTTGTTCTATAACTGCCAGAATACTTATTTTTGGTGGGAAAAGAAGGAAAAGAATGCAGCTGGCAACTCAGTAACAGGCAGCTCATAGTGAGGCCAGAAATTGCAACAGTCCATATTCTAACACTTAAATCTGTTTACAGACAAAATATGAGGACACAATGGAGTATGGAATCAAAGCCAACGGGGAGGAAGTCATACTGCATCTACAAAAAAATAAGTAGGTTCAGCTCTATTTTTCCTTGAGCGCTATTCCTCACTGTAAGTGGTTCATTAGGGCATTCAGGATACCAAGAAACAGAACTCAGGCTCCCGTAAAACAGAGGAATTTCGGTAAACACAATCTTTCGACTCCAACAAGGAAAGAGGGAAGACAAAGCATCATGTCATTATTTGGATAATGGCAATTAACTACACAGGTATAAGACATTACTGTGATGGAAATCATATTGTAGTACAATCATCCAAAAAGAGATGGGATTGTGGCAGTACGGGGTAGTTTCCCACATTGAAGTGAATGTTTTGCTGATCGCTTTAGTAAGGCTACAGCCTTGGCTTAAAGTTAAGCATCTGCTTAGTGCTCTGCAGCACAGGAGCCTGAGTGCCCAGAGCCGAGCAGGATCTGGCCTTTCACAGCAAACCCCAAACGTCTGTGCTGACACGAAACCCAAAGGTGCCATTCCCAGGGGTGGCAGAAATACAGTATTTATTCCATAGTCATGACGTCCTCCTTCGAAGGTTCAGGAACACCCGTGTGTACAAAAATGAGAGTTTTATTTAGACAGAAAAGAAAAATCAGATAGAATAATTGCAAAGAGGAGACGTGCTAGAAAAGGTGTGAAAAAAGTTGCGAGCAAAAGAATTGGACAAATAAGCGTGATCTCCGCGCAGATGCGTGCCCACGTACACATACGTGTGTGCAGGAGCACATGCATAAAAACCAGATGAGGCAGCTTTTCTCTTGACCTAGATCTTTGCTATTTATAAACCGTGGGGGAGAGCTGGGAAGAGAACAGAACAGAACGGTACCCTTGTGCACGCACCACGGAGCGGTGGGAACATCTACACAAACTGCAGCCAAAAACCGATCAATACCACATATGTCATTATACATTTACCTCCAGATCTACCAGGAGATTAGTTTATACCAATGAAATAAGTAGACTTTAATTGCTTTCTTATTTTAGATATGCCACTTTGTTTGAGTAAGGATTACAAACAGACAGAATACCCCACCCAGCAGCTTTGCTTCCCTAGTTTTTCGATACTAATAATAACCTGAGTAATCATTTCAATTCCCTACATACTTGGTGTGTTATGTAATTGCCTCATTTCTAGATGACTACAATTCATTTTGAATAATAATTGTACTTGACTCTTTGCAGGCATCTATTAGCTAGAGACTATACTGAAACTGTTTATGCCGAAGATGGTCGTCAAATAACAACAAGTCCTCAGTTCAAGGTAATAAAAAAGGTTTCCTTCCTTCATACTTGTATGTCTGTGTGAGATTCATGGGTCAGTGAAACAAAGCTCATCTCAGACAGAAAGAAAAGACTTTGAATCAAGGTTCTCAGCAGTGTAATCTAGGATGTCCCTGAAGGGACAGGGAGGATGTGGCTCATGATGTTGGCTGAGCTGCACTGATTTACACCCATTGAGAACCAGACAGACAGTTTGTTGTTCAAGATGCTGACCACTTTTCACCCTAGTGACTGATGCCAAATTTCTCTCTCTTTTGTCAGGAAAGGGTGTGGAGCCAGGGTCATTTCACTGCTTTCTACTTTCTGACCTTGTCCTCCCGACTTTGCTCATTCTGCACAGCTCTGTGACTTGCTCTTACACCCTAATCTCGGTGAGATCATGGGTTCTGATAAAGGCACATTTCCTCGCTGGCTCGCAGCCAGCGTGCTGCAGGTTACCCCAGGTGGTTTCTCTGAGCCATGACGAATCGGTTATTCTGATCCAGACACAAAGGAAGTCACTGTAGAAGTTATTTTTTAATTAACTGTGCACTCATGGGTCTTATCCTCAGCAAAGCTCTCACCTGAAGCTTTTTGCCCAATGTCATGCTGCGTGTTTTACCACATGTAATTCGGAATACAAAGCCTAATATTCTTTGCCATGGAGTGATTAGTAGGAACGGGAGGATCTCAAGCGAAATGAATGTGCCTCAAGAATTCTGTGGGTTTCTTCTGTGGAAAAAGATGCTGGTTCTGACTGTTCCAATAACCTACAGTCCCTGAATGGATCCTCCGCAAAGCAAATAGCACCTACACCTGGTTGAAGACAATCTCACCCAGGCCTACCTGTGCAGCTTGCTGAATTCTTACATTGGGGCAACTTTAGTGTCATCTCACGAGTTGTTTCCCTTGCATCCTCAAAAGAAGGAGAGTTCTTATTTTTCTATTTTTTTTTGCTTTATTCATGTATTTTTCACTGTAACAAACTTGGCTCATTGTGATGGAAAGCAGACAGATAAAGTGAAACCAATCAGCTGTGAGAAAACAAAAAGCACAATGTGTGCGGGTCTGAATTCTGTGTTATAGATCTCTTCAGAAATCTATTAAGGAAAATGCTGTGGGTAAAATTTTCCACAATACCTCAGTGACTTTGAAGTCTCTTTGAACACAGAAGTGTTCATTATACCTTAGATTCCTAAGTCAATTAAGCCGTGATTTTTTTTGCCCCTAATCATATGTTTTAATATAATACATGCAATTTAATCTCATTGAAGTTAATACATTTAATTGTTGGGTTAATATTAAAGGGTGTTCCCTTGAAATCTGGCCACGGTGAAATCTGGCCACGGTGAACCACAGGAGAATGGACCTTAATTCAGCAGAGCGCATGAGGATATGCTTAATTTTGAGCAGTGAGTAGGCATATTCTTATTTTCATGTACCGTTGGGTATTGGTCAGAGCCCACCACGATTGGATTTATCACAGTCTGGGTCACTCTGTGGTAGAGGATGACAATAACAGGACCGTAGCAAACACAGAACTAAATGGGCACCAGCTTTTTTCATTTTTAAGAATCTCCCCTAATGAGAAATTTCCTCAGACGGTGTCTTTTGTTGCAGCTTGTAGCTAGTGCAGTTTGGCACCTGAAATCACTGGATCTCATTGCTGTCAACGAGACATGGCCTGATTTGACAAAAGTATTTTTTCTTCTAAACAGGATCACTGCTATTATGAAGGTTACGTTCAGAATGATGCTGATTCCATAGCAAGCATCAGTGCTTGCAAAGGTCTAAGGTAAGAGGAGACTTCAGCAAATTTGTACAACAAGCTCAGTTAGAAGAACCTCCCGATTTCTAATCACTAGAGGACACAGTGGCCTAACGTGAAAAGGTGAGAGAATGGCTGCTCAGGCTGTGAAGCTGCAGCAGAGCATTTTCCCAGCGGTTAATGGAATTTGGCCAAAACCCAGACTTCCTCTGTGAACACTTCTTGCGTATCTTGTCAAGTTTACATGTTAACACACAACACTTATTTTGACATTTGCTGCTCAAAATGATAAAAGATTCTCAACTCCTGTCAATATTTCAGCTTTTCACCTCAACTAAAGCTGAAAACACATCTTTGATCTCAACTAAAATTCACCTTTCAAACACCTGTTAGCACAAACCCCCAAAATTGACACGTAATTTATTCCTAAATCCATTCCTTTTTGACTGACAGTCTCCTACACAGAGACTCCACTGACCAGCCAAATCTTCTAATTGACTCAGCAGCTTAACTTGCTGCTCTTAAATTGTTGTACCCTCTGCCTGTAAGCTGCCAAACTATTCCACTGCACCAGTGCTGGCAAGGGCCTAAATGAGCACAAATATCTCTACTGGGATTTAGCCATCTTGACTCAGTCCTGAGGATTCAAAAAATCAAGGTCTATTTAATTTTCTTAGGGGCTATTTTGAGACCCGTGGTCAGAAGTACCTCATCGAACCCTTGGGAACTTCAGCCAGTGAGGAACATGCAGTCTATAAGTATGAGAAACTCGCACAAAAGTCCTTAAAAACCTGTGGTCTGATCAACAACACCTGGGAAGAGGATTCAAATGACCCCATCAATGACATCTTCAAATCCAGCAACAGTCCAGAAGTAAGTGTATGATTAAGCAACAGCCCAGTCAGTACAGAGCAGAAAAGAAACTGTGGCAGTAGGGGAACCCTGTGAGTAGCCACAGTCCCACTTCGCCTGGTGGCACCTCCAGAAAAGAAGCGTTTGCGAGCGGTGAAACACAAGATCTTAACAACCAGTGCAAAATCTCACAGATCAGAGGCTTTGGAGCCACCCCCCGAGTAAGCCCTCCTGCACGTACTAACAGGTGTCCATGGGCATCTTTAAACATCTGAATACTTCTTAATATCTAGCCTCCCCTTCATAATCTTAATAGTCATTTTAACATCAAGCCTAGCTTTCATCATTTTAAAATATTCTAAATTACTTGGCTAAAGAAATACCCTCTTTACTAATACATGAGTTTGAAATCACAGAGGTTGAGACTGAAAGTGGCCTGAGAAGTCATTCAAATGTGTCTTTTCTTTAGATGAAAGCATACCTGAAAGCAAAAAAGTATCTGGAAGTTTACATTGTCGCAGACAACACTTTGGTGAGTATTGCAACGGTGTTTTCTCATTTGATCAGAAAGAGGGGAGCTCACCAAAGGAGGTCCTTCTTGTACCCCTGGGCTCCTCCTGCAATCACAGTGCTCACGCTGCTGAGAAAAGGGATTTCCTAGTGTCGACTGAATTTGAACATCCCACTCTGAGATGCTAAGAACGCAGAACACACCGTACAGCACCTGTCCTCTTCTGTGCCCCACACAGAGATACGCACACCTTAAAAAGGTCTCACCTTAAAACACATCGGCTGGAAAAATAATACATCTGGAAGAGAATAAGAAATAAGAAATAAACCAGGCATGGTGTAGTTTGCAGTGTAATCTTCTGCAGAATATCTCTTTTCTGATAAATCACCTCTTTCTAACCTAGTATATTTACTTTTTTAGTATAAGAAGTATGAGGAGGATGTTGAAACCATAAGACAAAGGATATTTGGAATGGTGAACTTCATCAACACGGTAAGAACAAATGCAGCAGAGGGAAAGACAAGTAGAAGTGATTTAGATTTTTTTTCTTTTGCAAACATCATGAATTTTCATTATTACATGTAGGAAAGAATGAAAACTGAGCTGCATTGTAATTTATGAAACAAATTTAACACATCTGTCCAGATTATCCTGTTCGTTGCCTTCAGATATGTGATTTCTATAAAGGACAATTTATATCGTATTTTCTTAACACTTGTTAAAGTGAATGATTGAAATCCTCCAAAAAGAACAAAGTGATTCTCAATTCATGATTCCTTTTGCAAGTGAAATTTCTTCAAAAATACTGCTGGAACATTCAAGTATTTTAAAGCCACTCTTACAGTTGGTTTAAATGTGGGGGAAATTAAGATTTCATGTATTGTTTGTTGCAACCTTGTCGTGAAGAAAAGCTTCTGTCAGGCCTGGAGTGGACTATATTGCAAGTGACAAAAGTCAACTAATTACCAGGACAAGCATTTATTTCAGAAGCCTTCACAAGGTACTTCACAATGTACTTTACAGCTGCGCTGTTTCTCTGCTGCAGGTTTACAAGGTCCTCAATATCTACGTGGCTTTAATTGGGTTAGAGATCTGGACGGATGGTGACAAATGCCTCCTGAGCCGTTCTGCAGGATTCACTCTGGACAGCTTCGCAAAGTGGCGCCAATCCGATTTGTTAAAGAGGAAAAGAAACGACAACGCCCAGCTCATAACGTGTGTATCGTTCTGCTTCTTATCCGCATTTCCAAAGAGGGTAAAGGAATTCGTTCTTTAAAAATCAGTTGCCAATCAGTCAGAGATGTTGGCTATAAGTGAACTGGGTTTCATGCTTTCCAATAGCAGGTTGTACCAATTCTAGGACAAGAAACTAACCGCAGGCTCTCTTCTCTCACTTTTATTCTCTCCATGGAGCACCACTGCCTTCTAGGACGTCGTACCTAATCTTTCTAGCTGAATCCCTGCAAAACCAGTCCATGTAAACTTCTTCTGCATCTCAGTTTCTCTTTTTCCCTGTTCTGCTCACAGAACAGTTGAGTGTCCTGAAGACTAGAGCGTGGTCTTAACAACCCAAGAGCCACGACGTGAAGTTTAACGGCTGGGAAATGCACATTGCCACACTAAACCAGCACTCGCTTCACGGTGCTGGCTCATGTTCAAGGGCCCTGATTCAGCCAAGCACTTTGCTATATTTCGAGCACTTCATTTAGCTCTTTAAATGAGATGCTGTAAGTCTGATGAACTGCAAACCAGGGCTGGAAAGGAATATATGCTTGAGGCTTTCAGCCTGGTTAAGGACGTAGACTTGACTTCAGATCTGCTTCCTGGTCACATCGCTGTATTTGACTCTGCCTTTCTTCTTCCTTACAGAGGTTATGACTTTGAGGGGACAACTATTGGATTAGCCTTTCTAAAATCCATATGCAGTGATACATACTCTGCAGGTATTATTCAGGTCTGATTTATTTTTGTTTATTTCATTTTCCTAAAGACTTCTCTATCTTTTTAATTCAACCTGCAAAGAACGTTTACGAAAACAATCGGGTGTACAACACTTTCAGTTCTCTGTCTGGTTCTTATCATTATTTTACTAGACTGTAGAAATTCACAGTTGGAGAGTTTAAGAGAAGTGAAGAAGGAAAAGAAAGCACACACAAAGCATCGTATCTACGTTACTGAAATGCCAACATCAAACTCAGACCCCTGTATTTGGAGTACCAGGCTCCAACAGAGTCAGAGGAGAGAAATAAGTAATTTTTTGCCTCTGGCAGAAGGTTCCCTGTTTTGAATGGGGCGATCTGAACCATCAGTTTAGCCACTTAACTACAGCTGCCTAAACTGCTGTACTTAATCTTCAGCCTAAACAGCAACACAGCTCCAAAACCTCACCAACACCACTGGGAACTCAGCTGTTGCACCCAGCTTCAGAGGCCTGCCTTGCTGGGTGGCCTTGCCACCCACGTGAAATTCCAGCTTTCCCATCCCCTAGAACGATCATAAAATCAAAAAGCTCTGCGACGTCAACGGTTTGCAACGCCGTGCTGGAAGAGCATGACCAGTACATTGTCTTGTGCTTCATGTGTTTCCACTCCCATCTGCTGTTTATACATCTAGATTTCACTCAAAACAGCAGGATTTCTCCCTTCCTCCTTGGAAGCAGCACAGAAAACCAAGCTAAGAGCAAAGACACAGCATCTACCTTTCCTTTCCGTGCAACGCGCAACACAGTACACAATAGTCACCTCGGTGTAATGAGTAATAATTACATCGCACCCACGTAATGACCCCAGGCACAGAGACAGCTATCCAGAGAGAGGATTAAGAGTTTCAGATGTTCAGTTCTCCTTCACACTCAGTTGTTACTTGCCAGCCTGACTTCCTCATGTTTATTTAAAATCTAATTGTAGCAATTTACTCATGTTTGTTAGTGGTATCTCATTGCCATTATAATATAATCCAGCATAAATTTTGGATTAGATGCAAGGATTGAATAACGTATCAATCCTTTCATAGCAGTGAGGATAATTTCCTGTGAAGTGAAATTGTCCTGTTCCTTAGCTACATGGCTTATCTGATGTTCCTACTTGTCCTAAAATACTCATGGAAATAATAGCTTGTTCTTCTCTCTGCAGGATCATAGCAGTAACGAAATTGCAGTTGCAGCTACCATGGCACACGAGATGGGGCACAACCTCGGCATGAGCCACGACACCGAAGCCTGTGCGTGTAGTGCTAAAGTTTGTATCATGACAGATACCGTCAGGTAGGAGTTTGGATGAAAAAGCGAGGGTGGCAGTGCATGGGGCAGCGCAGGCTGGGCTTTGGATAAGCTGCCAGTTTCCAAAAATGGAGTAGTAATTATTTTTTTCCTCTGAAATTGTTCCCTTCAAATTATGCAAAAAGAAGAGAAAAAGTAATAAACTCCAAGCCCTTATAAGATAGGAAATAGCCATTGTATTTATTAATATATGTATTTAGAAAAGTTGTCACACTCAATGTTTTGGGGGACATTTGTTTCATTTCTCTTGTGATGAGTATTGCTTCTCCTTGCCTACACCGACCCTAACGCAAACCTTCCTGCTTTCTCAACGTAGTTCCATCATCCCCAAGAAGTTCAGCTCTTGCAGCCTCCAAAGTTTTGAGAAATACATGCTGAGCGACATGCCAAAATGTTTAACCAACATCCCAGACGCAAGCAGCATCGTAGCACCTTCATCCTGCGGCAACGGCTTCGTGGAAAGGGGAGAGGAATGCGACTGTGGGACTCCTGAGGTATCTGCACAACCGGCAATAAAACAGTGCTTGGAAGAGGCACAAAGTTGTGCTCAGGCTGTACGCTACCTGGTTTCTGTTAAGCTTCTGAGACAGTTTAACAGAATTTATCTCTGTGGAAACTGCGGGCTTCAAAAGGCTGATCTGCAGTGCAGTCACCCCTAAGAAGTGCATGCCAAGTGGTGGGAAAGATGACTGCCTGGTTTGTCACGCTCTGTTGACAGGGGAACTGAGAATGGGGGAAACCACACATAGGAAACTGTCTGGGCAGAGATAAGCAAATTCCCCACACAGTGTCTATCAGCATTTTCACGATCAGACACATTTTGTATGCTTTATGTACTCACCGTGCTGTGGCACGGCTTCTAGTGAAAAACAGCTTTCAGAAAATCAAAGTGCAGGTCCCAGATACCCTTCCCTCCCTCCATAACCAACTACGGGATGGCTCGTTGAGAACGCAGGGCAGAGAGGACCAAACCCAGAACCACTGCACCAGAGCTCTGACTGCTCATTTCTGTCACAGGAGTGCACAAACGACTGCTGCGACCCCGAGACGTGCAAACTGACGGCAGGTTCCATGTGTGCACACGGAGAGTGCTGTGAAAACTGCCAAGTAAGACTCCTTTTAATCCCTGTTTTCTGGGGTATGGTTTTCCCAACTGTGAGAAAGCAATAACGCACCTTTCAAAGGAACCAGATCCTCTGTACTTGTAGTTACTGACATAGCACTGTACAGACAAGAGCCTTTTGTCTACCCCAAAGCACACCACAACTATCAGTTCACTCAATCTGTCAACATCCTGGAGAAATGAGCATTTTGATTACTCATTTTCTCCTGGAAAGCAAAGGTTAGGCACAACCAGGCAGAAATCTTGTCAAATGACGAAACCAGCTTTAATTTAGATACGGGTCTGGCTCCTCATGCAACTTGCAGAGTGAGGAAGAGATTTATCTCCCAAATTCTAGCCCCATAGTTCAGCGTGACAGTAAAACAGCACAGAGGAGGAGTGCATTCAGCATGGCATTGCTATTTCCCCACTTCAGTACAGAAAATCGGGAGCTATTTGCCGAGCAGTTAAGCATGACTGTGACCTGGCTGAGATGTGCACCGGCTCTTCCGCCAACTGCCCAGCGGATCGATTCCGTGTGAACGGACACCCCTGCAACTACGGCGAAGGCTACTGCTACATGGGAAGATGTCCCACGCGAGAAAGCCAGTGCAAAGCCGCTTTCGGACCACGTGAGTACAAGTTGGTATTGGAAAAAGGGGTTGTCGAGGAGGCAGAGAGAAAGGTAGGCTTTGTGTGCAAACGAGTCGTCAGAAAGATCTTCTGTAAATCAGGAAGAACGTGTCTATATAAATGAGTTCTAGTTTCTAGCATACAACGCAATGTATTTCTAGAGAAGTGGGAAGTGGTAAGCGTATTCCTCTTTGGCACAATTCTTTTAAGATGACTTTGGAAGGAAGAGGAAATGTCTGTATTTCAAACCAACAGCCAAATTTAGCATGCCGTTACGTTCCTGGAGGTGTGTGGTGGTGGCTTACCATCTCCAGTCCTGACGCTGTCCCTTCTCTTAGGCAAGGTCTATCGGTCTGTAGTGGATAGAGAGAGAACATGCGGGACAGGTTGTGCTGTGTGCACACAATGACATTGCAGAATTAACGCATCAAGTGCCAAAGAGTCATTTAGGCCCATGGGTAACTTCACTGGGAAAGGTCATTTCCTAAACAGGTAAAGGAAATTGAGTATTATTAGTTCTCACAGGCAGAGAACCTCAGCTAATCCCACTGCCTTTTCCTCTTTCACAGAGGCGACTGAAGGTGCAGCTTCCTGCTACCGGATGAACGAGAAAGGGGTATATTATGGATACTGCAGAAAAGAAAAAGGTAGTCACGTCCCGTGTAAAAAAAAGTAAGCACTGTGTTACAGAATTTGCTGGGATTTGGGAAGAGAGACCATTCCTATTTGAATTAAGACAGAAGCAAAGGGTGTGCTACTTTAGATGGCACATGTGTCCATCCCAGTTCAGTTTGAATACTGCGGTAAAGCCAATTCTAAAAAAACCTAGGTTCCAAATCATGAGATCAGTCTGAGAAAGAGCGAGTGTGCACGTCTGTGTGAGGACGACTGCGTGTGTGGCCGGGTATGTGCAGGTGAGAACAGGGAAGGGATTTCTGAACAAGGAACTTGAACCTCAGGTGAACCTCAGAAGATAGGTCGGTTAAATGGTCATTTCTGCAAATCACTGTGGGCTCCCGAATAAGCTCAAGAGGGATTACGAACCCGCCACCTTCTACTCACAAGTCGACCTGAAAATGCCACAAACCAAAATCCCTTTCTGCAGCTTTTTCTCTGGACCTCCTGTACACAACAAACTCACGCTGAAGGAGAGACCAGCTCAGACAGTTTTGCTGTGCCACGTCCCCCTTCTAGCTCTTGTTCTCCTTCCAGAGACATAATGTGCGGGAAGTTGTTCTGTGTTGGGGGCATGGAGATGCCTCGGGACGGGAGCCTGGTGAGATTTCAGTCCTGCAAAGCCAGTTTTCCTAAAGATGGAGTAAACGACCCAGGAATGATTCTCGATGGAACAAAGTGTGGGGATGGGATGGTTAGTAGAGAACAGCTTTTCTCTTTTTTTCCCCTTTCTCAGACTTGCTTATGTTGTTAACTCTTTAACAGATGAGGAAGATTTTAAACAGGGAAGCTCAATTGGGCACTAAACTTCTGCTGATCTGATTTGCCATCTCTTCTTTACATCCATACAAATCAGTGGCAAAGCAAACAGGAATTGCTGTCATTCTGATTTCCTTACGCTTCACTGCTGCCTTATTATTTTTTACTGACACAAATGTACGTGGCAACAAAAATGCGCCTTTGTATAAAAGGTTTAAAAATAGTAACATAAGTATGATCTTTTATTACTTCCAGAATGGATCTTCTAGGCATCACTGAGTGCTATTTCTCATTTCTTTGCTATATATTTCTACTTGGGGGAGGGAAGGATGAAGGATTGAAGAGGAGTGGAAAGCAGGGATATCTGTACATCTTTGTCACTACCCTTTGCTGTAAAATACCCAGAGGTCAAACAAAAATTATATCCACATATCAAACTCCTAATGCATGATTAAGTGATTTGCAGACTTGCTTTTTTCTCATCAATTTACACAAAAATGTGCAAGCTCTGCATGTTCTGAAAGCTACAAATCAGTTCGTTATCATTTGCCCTCTACATTACAGGTGTGCAGCAATGGAGAATGTGTCTACGCTGAAGATGTCTTTAGATCAGCCAACTGCTCTGCCAAGTGTCTTGGACATGCTGTAAGATATGAGTGTTTAATGCCATTAACTTTTTTTTAAAAAAGAAGAAAATTATGCATATCTGCTACAGACCTTACTGATAGCAGTATTTGTCACTGCCATGGGAATTTGCAAAAATTGTGGAGTCGGAAGATTTCCACATTTTTACAAAAGTAAATCTAAACTTGCTACAGCCTCAATATTTTTGCTAAGGAGATGACAGACGGACAGAGATTCTGTGTCTGGCACTGCCACAGTATCACAGCTGCCCTCTTCCAGGTCATCTGGTTTGGGCAGATGATTGTGCTCATCTTACCTGAGCATTCAGAGACCTACTAAAGATTAACTCTGCTGCTTTGTACCTTGTACTGTAGCTTTCGCTGCAGAAACAGCTGCAGAAGGCACACGACAGCAGACAATCACGCCTGTCCTTTCCTGTACAAAACCACTACTCTCTGTGCTAAATTTAGTCCAGGTAAAATGAGAGAGGGGGTTCTAGCCCCAGCTTCAATAAACTTAACAGGACCCTGATGCAGAGCTGCTGAAACTCAGGACATCACAGCTTCTCTCATATTTCCAACCTGAAGATATTCCTGGCTTTGTGCATCCCTAGGTGTGTGACCACGAGCTGCAATGCCAGTGTGAAGAAGGATGGGCACCACCAACCTGCGACAGCTCCTCGGCAGTTATCAGTAAGTGGCTGGAACGAGCTGCTGGAACCCCAGTGAGACAGCCCCAACGTGCACTGGGTGCTGGGCTCCTTCTCTGCAAATATTACTTATCTAGGTCTCCCATTTCTGCACATCTTTAAGTCTCTGCGCCTTGTATGAATGACTAGAGCAAGCTATTTCTGTTTCTAACCTGACAAGTGATACACCCCAGAGATTATCTGGAGTTGCAGCCTTTTCCTTTCTCCATCACGAGATAATGAGCACACTCTATCAGCTCCCTGTCAAACTGGAGGGGAGGCAAGCTCCCAGAGGTTTTGCTGTGAGGTAGGCGGGCAAGCTCATTTCTTTATCATCTGCATGGACCTGGCCTTTAACTGATCTACCTCCAAGAGAAAATACACACTTCCAAGTGTTTGGGGAGGAAAAAAAAAATTAAGCCTTTGTTATTTAATGTTTTTGTCCTCTTTCCACGCTCACCATCGGCTCTCGCATTGTGGCTTGGTTCAGGCTTTAGAATAGCTTCGTTCAAGGCGAGTTGGAAATCCTTACTTGTATACAGCGCCAAAGGCCTGAGCAACAGTTTTGGATAACACCCTTTGAGGAAGAGGAGAGGATTAACAATTAAATGATCTTTGAGGATGGATGGAAAAGGCTAGGTTTGTTCAGCCCAAGGACAGCTCAGGCAATAAGCATAATCTTCAAATATGGCAAACCTGGCAGAAGTACATTCCTTTCCATCACCATTTGTGGCAGGGGAAGAAGCCAT